AGGGCTAATACGGGAATTCCCACTGCCAATAACACTTAAAGATTATCCACCACAGGGATCATGTTTGATGGGTAGATGGCAAACACTTGAAACATTTGATGAGGGAGAACGCAACAGATCAAGCTGAAAAAAGACCCAAATTACTATTTCGCATTTCCATGGGATTTGGACTTGGTCCATTTATATTAACACGTGAACAATCAATTAGTCTTGAATAAGTCCTTCGATGAACTTCCCCGAGTACCGTGCCGTTCCTTTTTTACGACAAGTTCTACCTGTGATAAGTGTATCCATAGGTGAAATACACCATCCATACATAAGGCCTACATAAGCGCAAAAACGAGGTACCATATATGAACTGTCTTCACGAACAGTTATTTGAATATGTATCTTTGGAAGTATTTCTGTTATTTATTTATGCAGTGCGATGTACAGTGGGGCGTAGGAAGAATGAGTTTAATTTTCACGAACCTGGAATTTGGATCTTAGCTAGTTGACTCCGTTTCTCAATACAGATGACAACCAAACACGGTTTATGTTGCTTACCTGATTAATGACCATAGTTTGTTTGGTACTCAAATGTCAGCACTCCTCTAAAAATGGCCGATTTCTGTTTGGGAATGTTTTTGATCGACAAGTAATCTGGTCAACAGTTGCACAATTCGGTCACAAACGACCGGACAATAGACTGTGATGGTTTATCCTGCCCCGCCACTATCCATGTTTTTTTTGCTCTATGTGTGACTGACCTTATTCCCGGGCAGATATAATGCTGTGTTCTACTTTCGAAGCCAACTTTGGGGGTTCAGCAACATCCGCTACCAATGTCAATATGCCTTGGAAGTAAACTGGTCAACCAAATCATCCCATGAAAATTGATCAATATTGCCATCTGTGATTCTAGCTTGGCACAGCGTCTTGTTGATTGCATTATCTGATTTTGTACTTTCTAGATTGCACAAGTGTGTCAATTCTAATTCCTATCGCGGACGCAGACTAGTATTTCAGTCATGCCAAAGTTGTTCCGACCAAAGTTGACTCACGTCACAGCCAAAACAACAAGGTGGGTCAGCTACTTGTTCGTCTGTAATCGATGAATCCCTTTTACCATTTTAAAGTCAACCAACTGAGGTAAAAGTCCCCAATGCAGAAAGTGGCACACACAGTACATCTACGGATAAATCGGATGGTATCCCCGAAAAAAATTGCGATCCGATCCCCCTTGTTCCTCAGGACTACGTATCAGAGGCAACTCCTGCACCAACTCCGGTTCCGACGTAAGTAATTGCATTTATGCAGTTCTATTTTCAATATTGCATTTAGAAGTGTAAAACCGGTTGAATCGTCTGTCGGGGTTGTTTCAAAATCTCCTCGGCGTACAACAATTGTTTCACCTAAGAGGTAACTAACTCTCTCTAGCATACCTTGATCACATTACAGCTCTTTTGATCCTTCCACTGTGGATATTGATCAACCCACCGTTACCAAACAGAAGCGGAAGTCACGGACTGAGAAACCACCAGACCGACCTGTGGTGGAATTATTCAAACCGAAAAAGGTGAGTGTGGTTGATCTGTTCCATTCGCTTAAATTTCCATCCCATTAGCCTCGTGTGTCCACTCCAAAACAGTCATTGGAAGATGCTCCACGCCCAGATGAGCCACTGGATCGTACAACTGTATCGTTACGTTCATTACTTCATTGGGTCCCGACGAATAAACCGCCACCGTCGTAAGTTTAACATCACTCCTGCATATGAGATTCTGTGATACCATTGTTCTGTTAGGCTCCCACTGTGCATCGATCATCCTTACAACACACGAATTTTCCAGAGACTACCCAACTAATTTTCTATCTAAGTATTCACAGTCTACGTTTCATTTATGGTTACATATGTGTATTGATATGGCATAATTTTGATCTTTCAAACCACATTCTCACGCGTAAATCAGTCAGTTAATCGATACCCATTTAACTTGGGTTTCGCTCTCGTCAGACCTCATCACTAGTGTGCCTCGCACAACTATTCATTTTAAATCCCGGCCTCTCGCAGAGAAACTGTCACCACATGTTCCACGCCGCTACTCACATCGATCTGTGACTTGAGTTATCTGCTGTGGAGTTGATATTTTTTTAAATTTCAGTAGCCCCTTTCTATCTGTACACGTTCGTTCTCTAGGGCTTACCAGCTTCACGTGCTATGTTTGTCCGTTTGTTCTACTTCAGCAATTGTAGAGATTAATTGAAACGTTAGAATCTCGCGATATATGCCCTCCTTGATTGGTTAGCTAATGCCTCGGCTTATTTGAGAAGCCAGGATGCATCACTCAGCATTCCGACCGGCCCGGTGCGATGAATGGACTTAGTTTCCAATGCATCATCGAGACATACTTCCGAAATGTTCACTTCTTCGTTTTCCGAAGGCCGGACCGGGGTGTGTTCCGTTACCTGAGAACGCATTTGTCTCTTCGTCCTGTCGATGTGTGTCGATGACCGAGTATTCACATTTGTTTCAAGCATGTGTACCCCAAACTTGCCCCTGAATATGGGATTCATTAATGATGAGCTCTCAATTGAACAAGTGACTCAAGTTTCAAAAGAAATGACCATATGGCAATACTGCACGATTTATGTCCAGGACGATTTCGCTGCATCTCAGCATGGTGCATACTGCAGAAAATACATGTTTATATAGAGCCTTAGCATGGCAACAAAGTAAAGCAAAATACATAGAAACTGACAAAACATAAAAGGGGGAGGGGTATCACCAATATCACCAGTGTGGGTAGAGACTAACAAAGTTCTTTTTGCTGACACAGAGGGGGCTTCCATCGATTAATCGCAATCGCTTCGGCAAACCTTAGAAATCTTGCGACTTGTGACCTGTAGACAATTCGAAACGCTGTGCCTCGGTCGACTTGGTGCTGCGTCACCAGCAGATGTCGAGCAATTGCTGAAGGCGAGATCTTGTANGTAGTTTCGACCGTCGTTTCTATGCAGCGGACTTGACCTCAGTTGGGTCAGCTGATTTTGCACCCAAATCGGAATATGTTCCACCACCCGATTGCGTAACTGTCGCTCTGTTCGGCCCACGTAGGTTGCTCCACAGCCACATTGGAATTCGTAGATTAGATTAGAGTTGGCGTACAGGGTGTGTGTGTGTGTGGGTATCCTGGTTGTTCGGTAGACGATTTGACTCAAGTGACGTGCTCACCGTGCTTATGGTCGGGTGTGAACGGAATTGAGGTAGTGTACGATTGGTAATTTTGAAGGATTGCCAAACAAAATCGATGATCACCATTCTGAATATTTTTACCCGATTTAGCTAATGAATTAGTTTCTCAGCGCCAGCTTACGTCTGATCGGTCAGTTCAGAGAGTTCTCGTTTTTCCGACTATACGTTACCAATTCATCTCATCACCACTAAAATGCTTTACAGATGNCTCCAGTCCAATGATTGTCTTTTTTAGTCGATTCGGACAAGGTGGTCAAGCTAAGACCTGGCATGGGTGTATGAAAGTCCTAATCAGGACTCTGGGTCACATAGGTCCCGTTAGGCTCCCTGGATGGGGACCTCGGGATGATCGTACCTGATTGTTAGAGACACTGAGTGATATGACTGGGTGTCGTAAACAGTGTCGTTCGTGCATCTCAATTGCACTGCGCCATTAGGCCTCCAAAAGCGACAGTATGGTCGGGGGTGGGTGTCTGGGATCGGAACTGGTCACATTTTCTTTCACCTCGGAAAAAGCTCCCGTGCGACCAAGTTTCACAAATAGCCTCTGCTGGGGAAGCCCTACTCACTGCTTTCTCGTGGCGGAGGTGTTTTCTCTCCAAAGTGAGAAGACGAAAAGCCGATATCCGGGGCTATTACCGGGTTGGTGGATTACTGGTAGTCAACAGCTACAGAACGAAGCGTCGATGTCTATTCGTCGTGTCGGTGTTCGATGAACGGACCTCGTGGTAATCGCCGGAGACTTCAGTGCTCAAGTGGGATCCTTGGACGAATCGGAAAGGCTTCTTGGCGGACCACATGCAATCCCAGCCAACCGGACGGACAACGGAGATCGCCTACTTTAACTCTGTGCCGACCGCAGACTGTTTATGTCAAGCACGAACTTCTCGCACAAGAAACTTCACCGTCTTATATGGAAACCTCTTCACAGCGCTGGACCCAAATCGACCACATCACCATCAGTTAACGCAGGAGAGGGCCGCTTCAAGACTGCCGCTCTTACTGGTCAATAGCTGTGGATAAAGACCACGCCTCGTTACCAGCCGAATTCTCTTTATGCCCGGAAAAAAACCGTAAAAAAACGCCAACAACGGATACCAACTATACAATGTCATCGATTGCTGCAAATCGGCCTTCGGAGCGTAACTCTCCGAACGCCTTTCAGTCCAACCGCCAACCGAAAAACTCAATGACATTGGAAATAAATCAAGGAAGCTATGCAAATATCATTAAAAACAACTTCAGACCGTCACGCAGACATAAACGCAACATAAACGATGGCTTTCATCGACCTCGGCTGCCCCGCTGGACTCCCGCATAACCCTTCCTCCCAATAGCGCATATGACAGAGCGCAAATCTCTCAAACGCCAGCTTATCAAGTGTCTG